ATAAAATAGGGCAGGTTAAGCTATAACAAAAGACTTAAAAAATGTCAGTATCTAAGGTTAGTAAAGTAAAAAACAATATGAAATATCTTTCATTCTGCTAAACTGAATGTTCATATTAAATACTTCATCTATAGCATTTTACAAACATATAATAAATGACAAAAAGTGAAATATAAAGACAATTCTGAGATTAAGCTTAAGTAGCATAGCTGTAAAGAAATAATCAACAGTTTCAATGAATCACTGTCATACTTCACAGAATAATAATTACATTTTTCTTTGAGTACTGTAATGAAACATTACAGAACAATAACTAAATATGATTAAACCACATGTTCATTAAAAGGATTGTGTATAAAAACGAACATTAGATATTAATAAATGCTAATGAAGTATTCAATATAAAAATATGAAGTTTACTAGTAATATAAATGTGGCTGTTACAACTGTCAGTAAGTCGATTCAATAATTTTTAAGAACATTTTATAAAAGTTATTAGAAAAAAAAAGCATCATCACATTTTTAAGTTGAAACACTAATTAGCAGCAAAGAATCTGTGGTATTTTTATCAACTTCTGTGCTTTCAGTTCAACATCTGTGTTTTCTGCCGTGGTGGATTTGGAGGAATGTCGAGCATCTTGTAAAATTGAACAACCTGGCTTGGAACCTCTGCAAGAACTTCTTTAGCAAGTAAACTGGGTGGACCCTTTCAGTAAAACCAGAACTTTTATAGCAACAGCTGATCAATTAAGTAGTACTTTAAACTTTATGCACATATTAATCTAATAAAATGAGATGCAGGTATTAATGTACATTTTTACAAATGTAACAGTTATAGTTTTCTCTCCCTTAAATTAAGAAATATGACAAATGTTACTGAATGTGAAAAACAAACTTAAAGATCAAATATTTTATCACGTGAGTTTTGTAAGATTAAGTTATTGATACAGATATTAAAAAAATAAACATTAATCACCTGTTCATACTTGTAAAAAGGTACAAACTGTACAATATCCCTGAGTACAGGTCGGCCATCTGGTGCCCTTAATGCTCCATCATCACCATCCAAGAAATTCATTGCAGAAAAGTCTGCTCTTCCAACACCAATGATTATGATTGACATGGGTAAGTGGGAGGCAGCAACAATGGCTTGTCTAGTCTCATCCATATCGGTGATTACTCCATCAGTCAAAATCAGAAGAATGAAGTAGCTCTGAAAAAAGTAAGGTAAATCTATTAACACCAGAAACAAATCACATAAATATGCATTTCCAGTGATATTGTTTTAAATCACTTTCACTGATAATACAAGAAAATAGTGTTTATACCTACTAAGTATTTGCCTTTCTCTTAACTAGCCATTATTAAAACTTTATATTTGAATTAGCAATATACATATCCAACCTGATCTTAATATTTCTTACTACAGCAGAAAATTTGGTGAAGTACTGACAAGTTGCATGAACTGCAATTCAACCAACATCTCAAGTAAATCATTGTGCCTTATTATGAAGCAAGATGTAAAACAAAGAATCAAAACATCCACAACTCATAAATCTTGACCTATTAACCTTATAATTCGCAAATGCATAGGTATTATAAATAATATTTTTATTTGAATACTTTACCTAATCAAGTATAGAAAATTGGTTGGTATACCGACTGTAATGATGTTTTTAAATGGTAACCAGGAATCAAAAATGCCTGTGATATTAACTTACATTAGGAACCTGCTGTTGCATGGTTTGCTGGGCTTGCTGTTGCATTGTTTGCTGGGTAAGACAAGCAGTATGATTTATAATAGGAGCTATATTGGTTGGCCCATACAGCTTGACTTGAGGAAGACAATTCCGATAAGCTTCAACAAGTCCATGCACACCTAAGGGGAAGAATACAAAAACAGTTTTTACACTAATTAAATAAAAGTGAATTTCAGACAGTTGGAAACATTTGGAGAAAGTTTAATCCTTCTCTTCAAAAACATATTTCAGTTTATAGGGTTAGTATATAATAAAACAAATTGATTATTACAATTACTTTTGCTAAATGTATGCTAAAGCTGTGTTTTGCTTTAACCAAAGTCACAGTTTTTTTATTTAAAACAAATCAATCAGTTCTAATTCATACTAGCTGAGCTGTTAATATTTAATGTAACCCATAACTTTGTTAAGTTAATAGAAGTTAAGTTCGTTTAACTGATGTAAGCAAAGCTGCTCACATTAAATGAAAGCCAAACAGTTCTGATCTAATGCAAGAAGAGTTATTCATAGCTAATGTAAATCAAGGTCTTCTGATTCAACACAAGCCAAGCTGTTCTAATTAATGCAAGCTGAGCTGTTCATAATTAAAAAAACCAAGATCTTCCTGTTAAGAGCAACTCTATGTATTTGTGTAAACCATGTTGTTCTATTTAATGCAAATTGAGACATTAAAGATTAGCACAAAGCAAATGGTTCCAATTTAATGCAAATCCCACAGTTCTGACTTAATGCAAACTGAACTTCTCAGTTTTTAATGCAATTTTGTTTCTCACAAATGCTAAACTAATGAAGACTATGATGACGAAAACAACCAATATTACGTAAAATTTCTCAATATCTAATTATATTGTAAAAAGCTATTTTTGTAACAAGTTTGCACAAAACTGGAGAAATAGTACTGTCACAAACGGACCATTAAAAGTGAATTAACTCTGATACAGTGCAGTGACACTTCCCAAGATTATGGTAATGATGTTGAAATCATTTTAATACTGTTGTAAATGAGCAATGGACTCATCTTCAGCATTTTTTGTTTAACTGATACACTGTACTTCTATGTAAGTGTCTTGAAAGGACAGAACAAAAACTAGCTCTTAAATACAACAAATTATACATCAATTTGATAAAGAAGCTTATAACCTGGAGAAATTGTAATGATAAAAAACTGTCATTCCTTTCATGATTACTCAGCTATTTCCTTTACACACATTATTATAACTACAAATAGATAAACAACTGACATTTCCTTCACATTAATCAACCAAATGACTTTCCCATCTTAAAAGCAGTTATGTCGGACCAACTGGTATTCCTTTCACACAAATACAATTAACAACACACATTTTGTCCACATACATACTATTATAACTACAAAAACCGACACGTTCTTTATATTTATCCCTATAATTAATAACTATTCCATTTATGTTTGTACATACAATTATCATTGAACTACTGAAATTTCCTATCAACATTCTGTATTGTTAGCAATTAACACATTTGCGGCATAAGTGATTTCTCTAATTATGAAATTTTATGGCTTTATGTTATGTTTTATGACAGAATGACTGCATTGGGAACTTTCTCTTGAGTGCACCACCGGTGGTACATGGCGTCCTGTCTTTACCTATTTAAGCTTTGACTGTCATGTGCCACTGGTGGTGCGCACTATGATTTAAGTAATAATAATCAAATGATCATAATATTTAATTTTTTTCAGCCTAATCTTGCCATTTTTTAAGAAGAATGATGAATATTTCACAATTTTATGGGCGTAAAATAGGGACATCAGATAAAATAATCCCTACTGTGGATGATAATATTTCTATCCTTATTATATTATAGTCTTCAT